AGCGCCCCCCCGCGGCCACGCCGCCGCCCCGCCCCCTGCGGAGGGCGCAGAGCCGCGGGGCGCATGCGCGGCAGCGGCTCCCTCGCCTTACTCTCCCCCCACCCGCTCGTGCTGTGGGCGCATGCGCGTGGAGGGGTCTGTTCCCTCCGGGACCGCTGGCTCTCGGGCGCATGCGCGCGGCGCGGCGCGCACGGTGGCTCTGGAAACCACCAGAAGGGGCGGGGGCGGTGTGTTGCTGGAGGAGCGCGCGGCGCCGCTGGGGGGAAGGGGCGGGGCGCGGCCGGGATCAGCTGACGCGGGAGCCTCGCGCTGCGTGACGGTTGGCGGCGGCCGTTGGAGCAGTAACGGTTGCGGCGGCAGCCTGGCGGGGCAGCAGGAAGGCTCTCGGCTCGGCAGAGGCGCTATGGCGACCACTGTCACTACGCAACGGGGCCCGGTAAGTGTGGCCTTGCAGGGCCCTTGAGACTGAGAAGGTCGCCGTTGGGGCTGGGGGAAGAAGGTTTTATCCGCTTAACCTCACGGGCCTGCCGGGCCGCTGAGGCCTGACTTGGACCCTGCTGGGCCTCTGCCGCCCTCGTCCGAGACACGACTGCTGCCGGTGGGCCGCAGGACGGCTGTGACTCATCCCGCTTACTGCCATCCTCTCCTCCTGGGCAAGAGGAAGAGCCAGAGCCTCTGTCTGGAGCCTGTTGTGTCAGCGCAGGGGCTAAAGTCTGCCCGTCCTACTAGCTGCCTGCCATGGGAAGAGGATTCAGATTATGGGAACGTCCTATCTGTGTGCACCTGGGCCTTGGAGAGAGGCTCTCCTGGCTGCTCTTTGTCGCTCCCTTCAAGGTTTAAACTGAAGCAGAGTCGAATCTTTTTTTCAAAAGTGGAGCAGAACTTTGTAGTTCCGTGGGTGAACTGTGCAGTTCCACACAGCTGTGTTAGAAATCGCTGTCGTGTGTTCACAGCAAAAAGCTAGAAGGAGAAGGAAGATGCTGAGAGACATGTGAGATGATAGCCAGCAGCCGAGGGGTGGGGGAGCTGAGCAGTTTTTCAAAACAGCTTTGCAGCCTTCAGGGAGCTTGTGCAAATGGCTTATTCAGAATTCTTACAGTTTATTTAGACCTTGACATAATATTCTCCCATGTCAGGATGTTTTACTGCAGATGTGAGGTGTAGCCCTGTGGTTATAACACCTGCCCTCCATTGACCTGCAGTTTCAATCTGCCTCCTTTTTCTGGGAGACTCCGCAAGTAGTGGCCGATACTTCAGTGGCAAGGCAACTGCATAGTATTAAAACAAACAAAACCCCCTGAAACTGTTGTTATTCCTGAGAAAACTGTTTTTTTTTTAATTACTATCTTCCTTTCAGCCTTGCTGAAAGGCCAGCTGAGCAAGTTACTGAATGCTAATCTGGAAAAACTGCACCTGTGTCTGATGTTATCTCAGGGTAGTGAGTTTCTTCGATCATTAATAAAATTTCTTAAAATGCCTTGTGTGCCTGCTCTTCAGTAATAGGATCAATCTGCAACCCGTTTTGATGATCGTTCTGTCACTGAAGTTTAAAAAAAAAAGGGGGAGTTAAGGTAAAATGGGAGAATGAGTTTTCTGTTGTATCTGGATGATACTGTGGAGGAATGCAGCCTCTTATTCTTGACTGAATGGTGGATTAGGTGGTGGATCAGGTACTATCATACCCCAGGAGTTGATAACTGTGTTGACTGTGTGATTCAATCCAGTGTGGTTCTCTCAATATGTCACACTTTCAGAAAAGTAAAATATGAATACATAGTAAAATAATACAAGTTAGCTTAAAAGTAAGTTCCCTTCAATTATCCTTTACTCTGTGTTTGGGAAAGGGTTGGGAGGTTGAAGGGAATTGGTGTGGGAGTAGGGGTTGGAGGAGGTGTTAAGGACTCTAATGTGGTTTGTCTGCTGCTGGAGCAGGAGGCCTCATTGAAGCTGATTTGCAGAGAGGTGAATTTGTCTGTATGTTTCTGTCTCTACAGGAATGGTATTTTCTTCTGAGAAAAGTACTACTTGCCTGGTAAATGTTGATGCTCCTGACTTGGTGATCAACACCTTGTTGATGTTCAGTAGAGTGCTTCTAATCTTTGTTTTAGTTTGGTGAAATCTTCTTGTTGGTTTGGGAGTTCAGTGAGAACCTTCTTTGACTTGGCTATAGTTTGAAAATGATAACCTGTCTAGAATGCCTCAGGTGTTTTAAAGGAATGTTTTGAATATGCTTCTAGATGTGATTCTCTTTTTGAATTGTCCAGGTAGTCCTGTAAAATTTTTGGAAATATTTAAGATTGATTTAGGCCTGGCAATATGAAGGATGCATGGTGATTAATCTTGTAAAATTTCCGCGCTCGCCATTTTTGTCTTTATGTTCTCCTGATGTTGTTGTGCATGCTATTCTCATTAGTGCTCAGCACTTCAGAGGTTTGCATTTATCCAAATGAATACTAAATCCTGCAAATCTTGGCTGCCATTTGAAGGTGAGACTGCTCCTTTGGCACGTACTTGCCTTTCCTCATTTTTCCCTGGAGCAAAAGATGCAGTTCTGCTTGTTTCTATATATAAGACTGCATTACAAATGAATAACCACTAAATGGTGCTAAAGTACAAAAAAAAAAGATAGTTTCTCCTTAGTGTTGCAAAGAATGATGCTCCGATTCCTTTCTGTTTAAATGAACAAGAAAATGCTTAAAGTTCTCTCCAGCAAATGAGAAAATAAAAATACAGTGTGGTTCTTTTGTTGATACTGTTTGTAAATTGTGATTTCTAGTCACCATACAAGCACAGCTGAAAACTAATCAGCCCATCTGGTTTGCTGTTAAGGAACTACAGTTCCTTCTGCATCTTGGTGGTAAACATTCTGCCAGGATATAGATTTCCATAGCTGTTTTTCATGAAGATAGGGAGTTAGCATGATTTCCGGTTGTATGATATTTTTAAAGCAGCGACTTTTGACATCTGAAAACTATAGCTGAATATGTAATGGCTGCTAAATGATACGTTTTGTGAGAGTATTCCAGTTGGGCTCCAGATCTGAGGACTGAAACTGTGCCTATCTGATGCCTTATTTAGCTAAGCCTACCCAAAATGGATCCCCTTGATTATTCATTGTGCTAGCAAAAATGTCGCATCCTTTAAAATTAGATCAAGTGTCATTCTGCTAGTTACATTTCTGCTCTGGTGATTTTCTTGATAATTATTTTGGTTATTGGAAATCATTCAATGGGAAGGATATATTTTACCTCTCTGTTCGTGTCCCAGTATTACTATTGAACTGCATAAATCTTTTGCTCAAAGTTTGAGTTTGACATATTTAAAATCTTCGTGTGTGTGTTTTTTGTATGTGTGTTTTGATTTGTTTTCTAACTGAAGGTGACAAAGCAATTATTCCTGCTTATATTGTATGGTATCATTAAGGGTTTTGTTGTCTTGGGAGCATTTTCTAACGCAAAGCCCTGTCTCTGAAATTCTATTAATAGTTCTGGATACAATTGAGTGTATTATTAGCTGTTTTGTTTTTACAATACAGCTGTATGTAGTATTAATTCTGATTTTTTTGGAGGTGAAAATGTCAGGAAGATGGAATGCTGCAATCAAATTAGATTCTGAATTTTTTTTTAAAAAAGCTGAGGAAGACATTCACTGAATGGGGATTGAATGTCATGTGTTCTTCCATAAATGTTAAGATGATAGTATATAGCATAGGAAGTATATCTATTGCAAACTAAGTAGTGAGTAGAGTCATGATAGAACTGTGTCGCTAGGTTCTCCTTTAAAAACAAAAAATGAGGTTAGAGTTTGAGTCTGGTTATGCAGATAGGTATTTTTGATCCTGAGTTGTTAATTTGTCGCTCTTTGTCTGCTTTTAAATGTTTCAAGAGGGAATTAGCTTATTTTCTTACAAATAAAAAGTCTGCCCACAACTATTTATTTCCATCAATATAGAAACTGTAGGTAATCCTCATAAGAATTTAATGCTTAATGTGTTTTTCTATATGAAACACTTCTAGATGTTTTACTGAAGACATCTCTAGGATTTACATGTATTGGACTCATGTCAAAGCTGAATGTTTGGGACAGAAGTGTGTGTTGTCCTCTTCCCCTTTCTTACTTCTGGAGCTTTACTGTGATTTACTATCCTGAGCTTTCAGGATTTAATCTTCTGAAAGCTACACTATTTTCTGTTTCTGGGTATGTTTTAGAAACCATCATGAATGAATTGGATTTTTCAGTGATCATAAGATGTCTGAGGCAAAATAAGTTGTCTTGTTCTTCCCGAGAAACTGGCTTCTAGGGTTTTGTGCATAAGAGAAGGTAGTTTTAAGAGTGCTGCCATCACTTCTTCCTATGGGAATTCTACATGATGTGGCTTCTTGGAGACTACTAATACCAAGTTTGAGACTTCCTGGAGGTGAAGGGTTTGAGTGGACCTGCTGTGTTATGCCATTGCCTAGCTAGTTCAGGTATCATTTTTTTTCTAAACACCAACACATATGTATATAAATATATATATATACACACAATGTTTAAAAGTAGTTCTGTTTTTTGTTCCTTTTTTTACTGTGTATTCTAAAGAAGGCTGTTACCAAACCTTGCCTAACTCCCAATATAATTTAAATAAGTCTTCTTTTTATTACTGGCACTATTTTTTAGCTTAGTCTTTTCCATCTCTGTGCTCATCTCTCTCCCACTTTTTTTAAAGATACTCTTAAGAGAGTATGGTTGCTGTCTTGAGTGTGAGAAAAAGAATTATACTTTTCTAGCTTGATATTGCAAAACATTTCATGACTCGTGGTTATCCAGAAAGGATTGTGCCTGGTTCAGTCCAAATGACTTTTTTTAATCATCCTCTACTTCAAAGGAGATGACCAGAATTCTATACCATGTTATAGATGAGGCCTTACAACTACTGGGCTTTTGCTGCACCTTCTTTCTAAGGGCCATACTTGCCTTCACCTTCTGGGAGATCAGCATTTGCTTGACTTTATTATACAGGACATTACTGGAGAATCAATAAGCTCAATGTATATAGATATAGGTGAACATATTACAGACTAGAAAAAAGTTCAGCTTTCCGTTAGGAGTTGATTGATTTATGTAAGTTGATCACAGTATTGAAGTGTTATTAACCAATGTATATTTGTATAAGTAAATTTACAAATCAAGTATTCAAATTCTTTGCTTAGGGAAGTAAACGTTTATAAAGAATCCATATTTTAAATTTGCTTATAAGAAGACAACATTCAGGTTGCATGTTGGCTGTAAAGAATATAAAGATTGTTTATAATTTTCTAGTCTTCTGAAAAGCCTTTTGAATGCATGAACAGTGCATTTCCAGTGCACAGTGAACACCTTCAGTGAAAGTGACATTCCATCAAATGAGTCAGATATCTAAAGAAAAAAATAATTTACTAGGCATAGAAGTGAGTGCTTTGCTGGCATCTATGTACTTAATGGATATTGTCAATTATTTACTTTTAAAGGCCACTTCAATCTGTTCCCTTTATTATTTGCCTTTTAAATAGAAGATTTCTACTATGCAGAAGTAAAAGGGCTCCCTTCCCCACCCCCTCCTCTTCTCCCTTCCCTCTTAGAAGCAGGTAGATGCTACTCTTTGGGGTGTTTTCTGGTAAACTTCCTTTCTGATCTGTAACACCTCTTAACAGGATCCCTGAGGCTCTCAAACAGAAGCTACAGCTCTTGCCAAATCACATTTCATGTGACTCTTGCTATCTCCAAGATGCAATCTTAGCATATGAGTGTTGTGTAATCTTCAAAAGCTATGTCCCTGAGGCACTGGTGTGTCTGAAGTGTGGTGTTCTATAGACATGTATTTGCAGGATATACAATTGAGTAATCTTGCCTGGTATAACAACATAAGAAATTGCACTATTTTTGTCTTGTGAGTAAATCTTGTATTGATAGAATGGGAAGTTCAGTATTAAACACAAGCATGTCTGTAGGCAAAACAAGTGAGTACAGCTTAATTATAAACATTCTTTGCTATTTTATATTTAAATTTTATTGTCATATTATTTTAATGGGAAGATTCCCTTTAGATGTCTTCTTGGTTGTATGCAGTGAGCATTTAACATTTAGAAATGGTTTCTCAAGTAAATATCTGACAAGTTAAGATTAGAAATTTTCCCTTCTTTGATGTTAATATAAAATGTATTCTGAGTTCTGATTCACACATGTGCCTGGGATACAATTCCTCTAAGATCTTTTTTCTACTTAACCTTTTTTTTTTTATGATTCGTTCTTATGGTATCCCAGACTTGGGATAACTGCATTACTATTTTGGGTGTGATAGAATTCTGTCCCAAAATTGATAAGGTAGTTACCCTAATATTTTTCAAGATAAAACACTATTTGCAAACACTTTGCATAGAAGAATTTGATTTATAGAAGATGTATCTACTGTCATGAAGACTGAAGTTGTCTCTTTCAAGTGTTACCTTGTACCACTTAGTGTAGAACTTGACTTACGTATTTTTAATCTAAGCTCCACAGGCCTGTGTTAAAGTGAAAATAGTGAAATCTTCATTGAGCATCAGGTTTTAATGATAAATGAAAGCCTTTTGGACTCTTTGCTCTTCCCTTAAGTCCTCTAATGTAGGGAGCAGGCAGTCTCACCATGTCATTGATCTTTGCCAATGTGAATAACGGACAAGTGGAAGAGATGCCAGACATAAGATATATCAGGTATCTTAGGTGGAAGCGCTTTTTAAACTTGGTAGTGCTAATTTCTTTATTTGTATTAAGTAGCTAAGAGTTCAACTGCAGAGTAACCTAGACTATGTCCTTTTTTTTTTTTTTTTTTGAGGTTTATGTTGGAAATCTGTATTTTTTAAAGTGAGTGAATTTAGAGTTGGCATTTTGGTCATTGATTTAACTCCTTGTTCATGCTGTCAAATCTGAAGTAAAATTCTGCTGAATGATTTGCTAAACTACTTTGATTTATCTTCTCATTTGTTACGAAAGTAGAAGATACAAATTGGAAGTTGTTTGTTTGTTTTTCATTTTGTGTTTCTTTCTTTAAGGTATATGTTGGTGAACTACCCCAGGATTTTCTTCGCATCACCCCAACCCAGCAGCAACAGCAAATCCAACTGGATGCCCAGGCAGCTCAGCAGCTGCAGTATGGAGGACCAATGGGTACAGTTGGCAGACTCAGCATTACAATAGTACAGGTATAAACTTGATTATCTTTTTAATACAAGGTATAATCTTTCTTCATCAGTCGACACAAAAGAATTGTACTGGAAATGAGTTACTAGATGGCCTGCATAAAGGGAATGAGTAGTTTTAAAAGTTTTTCTAGTTAGTACTTGTGTACATCAGTGTGTTTCTAGTGTCCTGTTTCATAACTGTATTTTGTGCAATTTCCTACAAGCCTAACTATTTTAGCATGTCATTAAAGTAATTAAGGGCACAGTTTCTCTAAAACTTCCAATAAGATTTTGTGCAAAAATATTTAATGTGGGAGGACAATGGCAATTTTTGATTTTCATATTACTGTAGGGAATTACACTTGCCTTATGTATTCCTTAAATGACTACTCCATTTCCTTTAATGCCTTGTGCTTTCTTCCCCAAGTGCTTTCTGCAGACTTTCCCATTAATCACAAGTGCATGTCCTTGCTCTTTATATTTTTGCCATTTTTGCCTCATTATCTTTTGTTTCTTTGCAACACTGTATTATTCCATTCATTTAGTATAAAATTTCAGGTTTTAAAACTTATCTGCATTAGCACAATTCTTTATCAAAACTAGCTCAGCAGATATCCTTCATATTAACTGAACACACTTCATCACTCTGCAAGTAAAAATTTAAAGGTTTTCTCTAGAAATGTATTGAAGATGTTTAGGCGTAAAGCTAATGTCAAGTCTGCAATACTATACTTATGGTTACAGCTTCTATGACATCCTTACCAGTGAGAAACTGCGGAGTCTCTTGGGCAAAAAGGCACCAATCTTTCCTTTCTAGGTCCTCCGCTGATCACTTTATGCCTTCTCAATCTGTATCCTTCCTTTCAAAAATGGGAGTGACGCTTCTTGCGACTTTACTTCTGAGGTCTAGACACCAGAATTGGTGTGTTGCATTTGGTCACAGACCTTGCTCACGTTCTGAAGAGTTTCTAGTCTCTGTTTAGAGATTATCTGTAGAATGTGGAGATTGTTCTGCATTTCTGAAAAGCAGAAAAATGTTGCTGCTTTTAGAGCATGGTGGAAGAAGCTTTAATATGAGCTTTTTCCCGAAAAGCTTTTTCCTCAAAAAACAGTAATATATGATCCAGGTTAAACCTCAGATGTAAAACAAAACAAATATTTATCAAGTAACATAATATATCTCCATTAACTGTAAGTTTCCAGTGTGTAGGTTTTTCATCTTTAACTATTTCGTCGGACTGCTGAAAGTACTTTTCTGTGCGGATGTTGATGTGGTCAGCGTAGGTTGTAGAACTACTTGGAGCTGATAAGATGTTATAGTGTTCAAGAGTTGCATCTCACTTTGGGTGGTTCTGTAGAGAAGCAGGAAGGACTAAGCAAACTGGGCCTGTTTAGCTTTGAGAAGATTGAGAGGGGGTTTTATCAAATGTCTCCCCAACTGAGGGGAGAATGTAAAGAGGAGGGGACCAAACTCTTCTCCGTGGTGGCCAGTGACAGGACAAGGGGTAATGGGTACAAATTAAAACACAGGAAATTCCATCTACATATGAGGAAGAACTTTACCGCGGATATAGCATTGGAACAGACTGTCTAGAGAGATTGTGGATCTCCTCTTGGGAGATCTTCCAACACTCACCTGGATGTGACCCTGTGCCACATGCTCCACCTGTCCCTGCTTGAGTACGGGTGTTGGACTACATCCCTAGAGGTCCCTTGCAACCTTAACCATTCTGGGATTCTTGTTTGGACTGATGGACTGTCATCATTGGGTCAGTCCTCAATTATTCTTACATTCTTGTGCAGACAGGAAAACACACAAAGCCATGTGGCTTTATTTAAGCATTTGATGATTAAGTGTATGGAACAGCATGTGCTAGTTCTGCTGCTGCAACTAGCAAAAGATGATAAATGTTGAGAAAGTGATCTGTTGTGTTTTTTTCTTACATTCTTAATGTTCTTGTAAGGACTGTCACCATGTAAGGACTGTTTTATTCTATTTCTATGTTAATAGGAAAAGTATGTTGCTATAAGCATACTGACACTATGTAGCACACGTGTTTATTGTAGAGTAGAACCTAAGTTGCTTTGTAAAGTACTAAATGATACACTGAAGTAATGCCAAAATGTTTTATTATCTCTGAAAACTGTAAGCACCTAGATCTTATCTGAATTGAAATGTTTTAGCAATGTGAGTGCTGTCTGATACTTGTGACACTATTGGTTTTGTTTCATCTGTTAAAAGTATTTCAGTGAAAAGAGGCAGGCTACCTATTGCATTAAGTTTATGATATATTAAAGAACAAATTATTAGACAAGAAATGAATCTACATGACTGTTTTCGTTGTAATCATGTATTTGCCAATTTGCTGTGGAAAAGCCTAACTTATGCTGAAAGTGCATATTCTACAGCAGACACTTTACAAAGAAAGGTTTTTCAAGGATCGTTGATTATGTCCTTGACTTTTATTCAGTGCTGAATTTCTCAAGGGTTTTTCTTCCTGTCCATGTTGCGTTTGAACATAGTCCTTTGTTCCTTTGTTCCTTTTTTTTTTTTTAACTAAAGTTAATGTAAATGTAAGACTGATGTTTAAGCCTTGCTTTTCTTCTCCCCATCTCCTTAGGCAAAACTAGCAAAGAACTATGGAATGACCCGCATGGATCCATATTGTCGAATACGTTTGGGCTATGCTGTATATGAAACTCCCACAGCGCATAATGGAGCCAAGAACCCTCGCTGGAACAAAGTTATTCAGTGCACCGTTCCCCCTGGCGTGGACTCATTTTATCTAGAGATATTTGATGAGGTTAGAAAGAGTATATTTTTTTCCTCATCTATTCATGCAATGGAAACAGTATATATCTCTTATTTCGTATTAAGTGTACTTCATAATAAATGTGCATCCCTAAGAGCTTTGGGTTAACTTGATGCTCTCTAATATGTGTTTTTGGTCTTCTGGGCTTGTGGATGTGTTTACTTATTATATGAATTCAGTTTGGGGCCTCTTCTCCTCAAACTGTCCTTCCTATATTGGTTCTTTATTAATTCTTTCAGATCCAGCTTCCTTTTAGGTTTTTTTAGCATATTTTGAGCACTCAAGTTAAAAATGCTCTAACTGATCAAGCCTCGTTTTCGGGCTAGACAAGAGAATCTCTCCTTAATCTTGAAGTGAATTACGTTCCTGTATTCTGGTGCCACTGGGAAAAGTAAAATTTCATAGGTAGACATGGCAAGGCTATCTGATGAGGTAGGTATGGATGTAGCCAAGCCAATCTGTAACATTACCTGCTGACATGTTAGAATGTGATCAGTAGTAGAAAGTGGTGTATTCTTCTAAATGTTCTTTATCTTTGGAAACGTTTTTTAAGAAATACAAAAAATTTAGCGGTGACTTCCCAGTCCTTTAATTAGCCTGCTCTCCGATGCTTTCAACTGTTAGAAATATTTAACCTAGATTAATAGAAGTGTTCAAGGCCATCTCTAAAAGCTATTTTTCTTTTAGCATAGGCCCTAGAATTAAATGTTGTACAATGCTGTACTTATGTATTGACTAAAATGGACTGTATCTTTGGGAGACCTCAAGTTTAACAGCATGGAATACACTAATTATAAGTCTCATTTTGGAACATTGTAGTTAGGGCTCCTGTGAAGTAAACAATGATAATAGCCAGTAGCATCAAACATAAAACATGTGCAGGTGAATAGCAGTGAGGCAGAGAGCGTTCAGACTGTTCAACATTCAGCTTCCTCTGAGGTGATGTCACTTCGCACAGATGTTGATATTTTGTTGATGTTATGTTGTATTTCTAGAAACAATGTTCCGTTTTTGTTTTACGCTTTTTTATTAACTACCTGTGTTCAATCTATAATCCCATTTAAGGGAAAAATGCCTTTGTCCCTGGTAGAAAGCTGGTGATGGCTAAAATATTTTCTGATGCTTTAGTTCCATCAAAAGAAATTATTTAAATTGTATAAAACTTGAGATACTAGTCAGTAATCACTTTTGAGGGCAATTAACTGGATAAATTTTATTTAAATATACTCCAGCGGGCCTTTTCAATGGATGACCGCATTGCTTGGACACACATTACAATTCCAGAGTCTCTGAAACAAGGAAATGTGGAGGATGAATGGTATAGCCTGAGTGGGAGGCAAGGTGATGACAAGGAAGGAATGATCAATCTGGTTATGTCATACACGGTAAGTTAAATATATCTCTGGCCTGAAGAATGGTAGAGGGAGAGCTGCTGGGACACTAGGGAAGGATATTTTGAACTGTTAGAAGTAGAAGCAGTTCCACTGTGTGTTACTATCTGAATAGTTTGAATTCATTTGCTGATAACTTGCAGTTTAAACTTGGTCCTTGTTCTTGGTTCTGGTCTTGCTTCGTATTGACTGTGAGCTGTTGTCTTTACACTGATCCATTCAGCAGCCCATGGACCTTAGTCTGGCACCTTTGTCTTAGGGAGGTGCTTGCATATGATCAACATGCCTCTTAATGTGCTTGCATATGATCAAAAGTTTCAATTTTCCAGCTTCTGCACACAGTAGCATAACTATTCCCTGCTGTTTGAAAATAACACACTGCCCCACGTGTAAGTAGCTGTTCCTTTGATTGCAGTGCTCCCTTCTGGGATAACCTTTAAAACTGTCTGTAACCAGTGGATATAGTGCACATAGGATATCACCTTTTGCTATTAATATTTTCCAAGATCAGGCTGAACAGAAGTTGGAGTATAAAAAAAAAAAAAGTGTTAATTTGGTATTCTGTTCAAAATACTTTCTAAGCTGAAAAATAAATTTGAACTTCAGCTTGCTACTAGAAGCAGTGCACTGCTTTTAGTAAAATTCAGACTTTGTTTAAATATTTACAGTGAGTATCCTATATACATTCCGCAAGAGCAAGGTGTGCAGACCCATATAGCCATCTCTTAAATGCATTTGAGATGCAGTAGCATGGAACTTGAATAGCTGATTTTAGCAAAGAACTGTTGCAAAAGACTAGTTTAGTATTATGTAATTGAGTTGCAAATGAATTCTCAATTAAAAGGTGGTAGTTCACTTAATTTACCTGAGACACTCTTTTATATAGATTAGCCCTTATGATAAAGATATCATTGAGTATGGAGCACTGACTTGCAGTGTGACTTTTTGCCAATAATACTTCAGTGGCTGCTATTTGTGTGTATAAAGAATATATATATTCCTGAAGTACTTCTAATTTGTCTGCTCTTTTGTATCAAGTCTTTGCCAGCTGCCATGATGATGCAGCCACAGCCAGTGGTCCTGATGCCCACTGTGTACCAGCAAGGAGTTGGATATGTGCCTATAACAGGTAGGTTTTATTTCCTTGAAGACTTTTGAAACCCGAGTCAGGGTTTTGCAAAAGTAATTACCACGTTTCTTCTGTACTGCTGAACACAAAGGGAAGCTCTAAATTATCCAGGCTGTGTGTGTAGTGTGGTGTTTTTTTCCCTCTATGATATATTTTGTGAGAAGGAGAATGATAAAATGTACCCTCTTCTAAAGGTGCAGGAGTTTGAATAATTAGATTAGAACAAGTAGCTCAAAACATTCTCTCTTCCTTTTTTTTTTTCTTTGAATGCTTAGTGTTAAATTATAGTAAGTCTTTAAATAACTAAATCTGTCAGGCTGCACTAATATTGTATATGCTGTTAATCTGTGTGAAGCTGTTCACACTTCAGAGCATAGGACTGCAGCTTAAATAGATTATGAAGTGTTTATTTTCTGTGGTCATTGAAACAACTCTCTTGCATGCTTGCTGCACATACTACATTAAGTGTAGTGGATGAAAAGTGTTAGAGATCTTGGATGGAGTTACTTAAATACATCACAAAGTTAAGACAGATATGGTCTGTCTTATTCCCTGCAATTACGTTTAGACTTGTATGCAAAGATATTTTTAACTCTGGGTCTTGTAGGTTTTTTCATTGAAGATGAAAAGCTTGAAATATACTAATAAGCTTGAACGGCTCCAGGTTTTTACTTGTAGTTTTTACAAGTCCAAGGTTTCTATTTTTTTTACAACTCTTAAGTCCATTTTGTTGTATTGAGTAAAATACACACTTTTTAGGGAAAATATAGTTATGTTCCACAAATGCTAAGGATTTTTTTTTTTGCTCATTAACGTTTATGGGGCATAATTACAGTGATAAAAGCTGACACAAAACAGATTTTCTGAGTTTTAATTCTCTATTGAACTTAAATTTTGTGGAAACAAACATTCAGAACAGAAGGGTGTAAGACTGGATGAATAACTTAAGGAATGGTATGTACTGCTTTGTTTAACTGCTGAGTTAAAGCAAAGCATGGAGAAAAATAATTGCTTTATTTCTCAGTGAAAGCATATGGTATGCTTCCTTTCAAATGCTCTTATTTCTAGAGCTTAATTCTCAGGATTAGTCTTGCTTGTGCCAGCGGACCGGGCTCAACTAGTAGGTATGTCCTGAGATGTGGCTCCCTTACTGTGGTTATATAGAAGCCACGCTTCTATATAACTCTTCTGTGATCTCATTAGAAGCTTTATATCTTTACTTCTGGGTTCATGACATCCCTATGGGGCGAAGCACATTAAAGGGGAGAAGTAGCTGGTATTATCTATTGTAGTGTAATAGGAAGTGCTCTAGAATCTCTTGGAACAAACCTATCATACTATATGTTACTTATATGTAACAGTAATCATAACCTCTACTAATTCTTATAATGTTTGTAACTTTTTTTTGTGTGCCTGTTGGTCTATCACCCTCCTACAAAGATACAGCATGTTAGTTTTAGTTCTGCCATTTGGGCAATATGGACAGTATTGAGCTTTATCTATGACAGAAGTAGGGAGGAAGGACCAAACTGTTTTTGCAGAACAATGTAATAGTCGTTTGTGAAAATGAGTATATTTTTTTTAAAAAAAGCTTTTACATGAAATGACATTTAGTCAAATTTAGTTGTGCCGTCGAGGCAAAACTTGTTTTTTCTGACTATGGGTAACTGTTTCTATTCAAAAATCAGTATATATCATAATTAACCTTAAGCAGCCTCTCTCTTTTTTCACTCTCCTCTTGTAGTGCAGAAGCAAGCAGTCACTGTAGGTAGGAAGCAGGTGAGATTTCAGATCTCAATGTAAGTTCAGTAACTTCCCCTGTTGGTGAATATGACACTAGCCCTTTAGGTCTCTGCTGTTTGATGGGTTAGCTTATGAGGGTGTTGGTGTTTATTCAGAATGCTCCAAGTATGATTTGTTCCTTATATTCAATAAAATATCTATGCTACAAACACCTGGTGATTTGTTTACGCTGGATTTGTTTAAGCCTTAATTGCTATTTCTATAAAAATAACATAGTTTGGAAACTTGTTCAGAGTATTGTAGTGAATATGAGACAAGCCTAGCAGCCTTTAATTTCTGCTTAAATTAGTACTTACCTAACTATCTAAATTCACTCAGTTTTGACTTTTAGAAACAAAATAGTTCAGTTTAATTAAAAAAAAAAGATTAATATCTCTTTCCCATGTCTTACTCCTTTCCCCTCACCCCTTCATTTTCACCTGTCTTTAGGGCTTGAGTACTTTGCTCTGGGTAAGTTTCCAAGCTCTTTTCTCACTCCCATCTTCATTGACTCCAGTTTTTGCATGAATTCATGCAGACAGCCTTTTTCTTTCTTTCTTTTTTTCTTTTTTTTCTTTTTAATGTTGTGGCACACTGCATCACAAGGTACTGCACCTGGTTTCACAATAAAGGCAATTTAATGTGTCTCCAAGTCTCAAAATGCATCTCCCAGTTTCAGACTTATAATTAATTTGTGATAGTGGTATTAATGGATTAAAAAGTGGCACCGATTTTTCTTGAAGCTTTTTGTGCTAGTGGGCTGTTCTAGGTGACCATACTGGTTTCCTAATAGAGAAATTTTAATGTAAACCTAAGTGAAGAACTTGGTTCTGCAGTGACCTTCTGGTAAGGTAGCCTATCGACTGCTTTCTGTTATTCTTTGAGCCCTTTTATTCTAAACAGCAACATTTTTATTGATATACATATCTTTTACTAACAGTCTGTTTTAAATTCTTGTCAACTTAAGCATCTGACATGTCTATTTGGATAAACTTGAAAGGTAAACTGTAATAGGAAATCCATTTACCTTCTCACTTTACTATGCCACCTTTGATTTTTGAGTTGTAGGAAGGTATTGAGCATCCTTGACTTTTATGGATGTTTAAGTATCTGCAGAAAATTCTAGAATTATATCTTGTGATAGGAAGTCATTTCTTTATGATCTGCATTTCAGAAAGATGACAAATTAAACAACTGATTCTTGCAATATATTGAGTGATGGAATTGTCTTTCCATGAGCACATAGACTTCATTTTAATTAGCAGTTTACAAAGAGGCAACATTTAGTTTATAAATGATGACACACATTCTAGCATTTTTTGAGGGAAATACACATTCACATAGGTCTTAATGATGTCTTTAAAGCAAGTGATCCTAATTTTCTTCCATTCAATGAAAGAATTTGAACTAAGCAGTTTCTCAAACTGAGTTTTTGAAGGCACTTTACAAAGAGCAGAATGGTAGCAATACAAGATACTAAACACAGAGAATTTGACTGGACGATGAAGTAAAAAGTGTGTAATACCTGGGATGCAGTTTAAAAAAAAAAAAGTGCTACTTTCATGCTTCTGTTGGTGCTTGTTGCAGTCACAAGATGCTTTCAGATGACCTGCTGTTGTATGTACTCATTTCATGCCCTGGAATGTCACTGCTCCTGCTGCCTGTTTGCCATTGCTGTTCCACCAGCCTGGAAAATGCTGCTGCATTCTTCTGATTTGTGGGAGGTAGCAGGGAGCAATACCCAGGTGTATGCAATGCTGTTTATAGCAGTTGCTTATGTGTTTAACCTTCAGTCTTCTCTTCTGAGTGAAATGAGCTTCCCAATATGTAAAACAGCTTCTTACTGAATATGGATAAATTTCAAGTTTATTATAGCTGTGTAATGATTGCATACACATTACATATTAAGTCAAGGTATTTAGTTTTTAAGCTGATGCAAGAAGTCTTCATTCCTGTTTTGTAAATTGGAAATGATTAATGCTTTTAGTTTGGAAAATAAAACAAGATATTCTTGTATATTGATAGCCTTTATGGCTTGAATATGGAGTTATATGAAAAATAAGCATGTTATAGAAATACTCAATCTGTGTAATATTCCATTTTCTGTGTGTACGAGATAGTTGTAGACAGTATGAGTAGTAATACTTAAGCTGTAAGAGCAGAGCAAAGTTTGAAAGTCATTACCAAAAATAATACTACCAAGAAATGTCTCTGAAACCAAGAATATTTGAATCCATTATGTCTTGAATTCTGCCTTTGCAGATATCTGTGTTTTCAGAATTTACTTGTTCTGATGAAACAGTGAGAAGTTGTGACCTTCATGGTTTTGATACTAAGACACTTAAACTTTGTTAGTGAGCTGCTTGTCCAGTTGTTGCCATAGACCACTGCGGCACTTGAAGCAAGTTAGATGTTTCATTTCATTTGGATTAATGTTTTAAGCTAGCATCTTGCTTGGGCAGTTCCTAAGGACCTTAGGCTAGTTATTCACAAAATCCATCCACTTGGGTGGTTTCAGAACATTAACCTACTGCATAAAACAGAGGCTTGGATAAAAGGCAAAACAACTACTGGGTGACTCTGTTCTTTGGAGTACAATGATGCACTTGATTTCCTGATGCTGCACCCCTTTGTCTCTTGTGTATGACAAGATTACTCGTGGAAACTGTGGGGAAGGAGCTGGGGCTTGTCGAAGCTATAGAAGAGGCAATCAGAACTGCAGCTGGGTCTGTTTATTGGGCAGAGTGTTGCACTTGCAGTGCTGGGGAGGGCTGCGTACTCGTTTGCTTCCTGGGTATGTGCATGGTACAATTGACCAGGTGTTCAGATGATCTGAGGTGTTGGCAGAAGCCCAGGGACCATGGCTCAGATGGCATAAACTCTGGGGCCATATTTCACACTGTTGAGGAAGAGACTATAAATAACCTTGGGAGTGGAGGGAATGCATAGGAACTGGCAGAGACAGGTTTTTCAATGTGTGGGTGTAGTGAAGTGGTGCTAGGAGCTGTTTTTCTAGCTCTAAAACAGAATCTTTGGAAATAGATGCAGCTTGTACACTAGATCATTTACAGCATTCAACTTCCTTTTTTCCAAAAAATAATTGTGCAGAGATATCACCTTAATATTGAGGAGATTTCACTTCTGAATAAAAGTGGTGCAGTATAGGGACAATACTTTTGATCACCTAAATAGTACTTGAGTCCTTTCATTTAGTCAAAACAACAAAGATGCACACTTGGAAATAATGTCACTTGTCTGATTTAAGTCTGCTTAATATGAGGATGCAGCTACCCGCCACCAGAATTATGTTCCTTTCCATTCCTTTTTGAACAATTAGCTATCATAAGGAGCTTATTTCAGGAATGCATAGAACCTTGTTTAAAAAAAAGAAAAAGCTATTTTGAAGATGCCCTATTTGTGATGACTGGGATGGTACATCCTTGGTTTAACTTGAGGGAAAAGTAATGAAAGTCATAAAAGGAAAACTAAAAAAAGTGGACTAAAACTGTGTAAAGACACTGTTAGACTTAAAGTAAGTGTATGTAGATGTAAAAAGAAGCAGTCTTGGAGGTTACTGAACAACTGCTATGGTAAAAACAATGAAATAGGTAATTAAAATAAAAGGAAAGGATCTATCCGATTATAGGAACGTTAAATGATATACCTAAATGGGTTTGTTGGCAAAGCCTTTGAGGTTCAATTCCTTCAAGGGGTAAGAACTACTTATTTTAAAGAAATAGAAGCAATGGTATCATTAAGTGAAGGACTTGAAGGGTGAGTGTATAGCTAAGAATTTAAATAAAAAGCAAAAATTAAATCATAATGATGCAGTGAGAAGAAAGGGTTTGCTTTGTGTGCTTCTTTTCTTGAAGAGTAGTGTCAGCTCAGGGTTAAGATCTAAACAAATTAGAATGATCAGCATGAAAATAACATTTTTCTCTGGTTTGGTATTTTAGGTTTTTGCAGAAAATACAATGTGAGACCTTGTTGCTAAGTTGATCTTAATTGTAGAATACTGGAGGGGAGCAAAACTGAGTAAAATCTACCCATTAAATAATTTAAACCTATAGAGTTTAGAATTTTTTTCCATAATTTGTTGATGAAACTATAGAAATTGTAGAAACAGTACTTTAATTTCACACAGCAATACAAAGTCCATCAAAAATGTCTATGGAATTTGTCTTCTGGCAGAGAAAAAGGGAAAAGCAACGTTTGCCCCTTAGTGAAATAGCGTTCTCGCCTCATTGAGGTACAGGTGCACGCTGAGGTAGATGGTTCCTTTTTGAGGAAGCGATCCCATCACCAGGTCAATTCCTGATCCAGATCGATGACGCTTTCCTTTTTCCTGCAGTGGGAATTCATTCGTTGAATTACTGCGTATCAGTTGTATATACAGCTAGTGTAAAAAAAAAAATCTTGTTCCACACAGCATAAATGCAATAAGGTCCATTTAGCTGCAGAATGGGTGTTTGATATGAGGGTTTAAAAAGTAAATCTCTGATGCTCATAGTGTTTGTTTAGTGATTACCATAAACCTGATTAATTCTCGTTGCATCTAATTGTAAGCTGTATGTGTTACACATATTACTGGAACAGATCCGAACTTGGCCAGAGAACCCATTCAAGAAAAATCTCAAAATCTTGAGATTGCAACAGTCCAGAGACAAATGCTCCAACCTCTTTTCTGAAGCTGTGTGTTTGGAGGGGTTTTGGAGTTGGCAGTCTGGGGGTGAGGAAGGCATAAGTCACTTCATTTTTCAAAGTCTTAAATTTTCTTTCATGGTTTTGTCTGCTTGTTTGTCTTCAGGGATGCCTGCAGTCTGTAATCCTGGCATGGTACCAGTGGCAATACCACCTCCTGCGGTCAATCCTCAGCACCTTTGTAACGAAGAAGACCTGAAATCAATTCAGGACATGTTTCCCAACATGGACAGGGAAGTAATCCGCTCAGTGCTAGAAGCTCAGAGGGGGAACAAAGATGCAGCTATCAACTCCTTGCTTCAGATGGCTGAAGAATCCTAAGCCCTTACTTCCTGCACTGTCTCCGTCTTTGATGCCACCTTTATTTTTACTTGCCAAGCCAGGGATTTAGCTAGAGGAAGAATTTCCTAACAGTTTTCTGTTAGTGTATCCTGTGTGAAAGGTTGTATCCCCCTTTTTTGTGTGGACAGTTGGATCTTTTTCACTTTCTTTTTCAGTCTGTTTTCAGTTTAGTGTGTATTCTACAACAGCAGTGAAGCATTCTACTATCAGCTGTGCCCCGTGTGGCTCTATTCTGACTGGGGAGGCGAGTAATGCTGCTTTTTTCTTTCTCTCCCCTTTTCAAAAAACAAATTCTTGCAGAGTAACTCTATGCAGTACAGGACATACACTATTTGTTAGATTGAAAAAACTTTCTTCCATGGAGGGTTTCTTTTTTAGCATAACTGATTTGTTAAAGTATTTTGGTTTCTTCAAACAGCCTGTTTCTACCACAAGTTAAAAAAAGCGCCCTTCTACCTGTCCTGTTATGTTTAATTATTGCTGTGATAGTCAGATGTCCTTGATGAAAAAATTGAATTGAATAAGCTAAATTCCTTGGGTTGTACTGTTCATATTTGTAATGTGATCCTCTGTTCAATCTTGTCATTGGGCACCAAAGCAATGTGTTATCTGGTGTGTGTTTAGGGCTTTATCCTGCCTGTAGTGCTGTTAGGTATCTGTAAAATCTGCACAGATAACTTCTAACTTGTACAGTCTGTATTGCTGTAGTAGAGAATGAGCCCTCATGTACTCTCCTACAGCTAATTGCACTCTTAGTACTACTTTTGCATTCCCATGTTTATTCCAAAGGATGAATGCAGATGGAAAGATTTTATACCTGGAAAATGAATGACATGCTAAACAATTATTTGAAGTATTGTCTTATATTGTTTAAAAAAGCAGAAACCTCGGATATGTTTGTAAGACATCTTTCTTTACTCCTAAATGTCAGCCAAATTATCATTTTACCTTGGTGGAAAAGTTACTATAGCTTTTTTCTTCTTTTGTGTAATATGAAATAAGCATGAAAAGTAATTTGAGAATCTTCAAATGGTATTTAAACTTGCCCAGTGATTTGTTATGTTATGTTTCATGCAGGTGGGAGTAAATTAATTGAGAGAACATCTAACATATCCGAATTACCTCAGAGGAGGTTAGAGGTTGCTGATATTTATTGTTAGTATTATTTTTTGAGACATCAGCTCCTCTTGGAGCTGCAGAATGTTGAAGTGGGCACCCGTTTCCTGGTGGACAAATTCTGCAATGTCTGTTTTTGTAGATGAAGTAATGCACTTTAAGTGGTATGCACCAGTTTGTTTTTACCAGTGATGTGCAATGTTGTCGTTTTATCTTTTTAATGTTTGACTTCGAATACTTTCTACAATAGCCATAGACTTTTATATTTTCAAGAGTTGGAATGTACATTTGAAATGTAGGTTCTTGAGTGATTCATGAGAACTTTAAAACCAGGTTTCGAATAAGGAAAATAGACTCTTATTCTCCTCCTCCCCCTGCTTTGTTTCGTTTTGCACACTTAAGATTTTTTCTTACCTGCTGAAAAGCCAGTTTTCCCAGTTACATTCAAGAAGCCTCTAAGTAGTGTCGGTAGAGTATGAATATTTATTTTTTTATGATTGAGTGATACTGAAACTTTTTAAAAAAACAGGATCAAAAACAGTATCCACTTCCAAAAACTGGAATCCTCTAGTGTCTGATCTTCTAAAGCAGAGTTTTCATACTCTATGACTTAAAATTGTTTTTAATCCCTCTACTGTCTCTTCCTTTTGTAATATCCATCTTCCCATTGGCATTTCAATAAAGAGGTATAGTTTCTATGCTTTATTTGTAGAGTCACCATATCTTTATTTTCTAAGAGAAACCAGGTTGTCATTAAGAAAATGCTCTTGCCCCTTCTCTACACTTGTGTAAAATTTGAATAGGTTTAGAGGCATCTGGACTTTATCTTCATAGCACAGTGACGTGTGGCTTGTCTCCCGAAAGGACAAATGTTGGTGAAGATTTTGGTGCTCAGATACCGTCTGCAGGATGAGTCCCTTCCTCTGACTTTTACACAGATAGCATGAATTGTTAGGGGGTAAATGATTCAGGGAATATGTACATATATAAATTTTTATATTAAAATGTTGGCGTCTGTAATAACAGCTTTTTATAAAAGCAAGAGATCAGGGTTGAATGGAATGGCTGGTAAATTGTGCTGCATCCTACTACAGCTGAGTTTCAAGCACAGAATTCAGTTTGAACGTTCAGGAAGGGGAAGGAGCTGTTGGGTTAGCCAGCTTCGTTCAGAAACGGCACCTCGGGCCTCTGGGGCACCTGTAGCTCCTGGTCTTACATGAGTGGGTTTTTTTCTAGGTGGTTCTTAGGCAAATATTACGCAAAGCAGGAGTTATGAGTTCTACATGGGAGATGTAGGAGCAGTATGGCTGGTAGATGGATTTCAGCATGTTATTGAAACTAACCTATTTTTTCTGGGTTTTTGGTCTTGATTTAACTAAGCATTATGGTTGAAAATCTTATGTCAGGATGTGCAACTTCCTAAAAAGAAACAAAACACCCATCATGAGCTCAACTTTTCAGCATACATATCCTCTCAGTCCAGCTGCTTATGGACAGGTTTGAATTGGGGAGAGATGCAAAAAGGCAAGGAGGAGTTGTCCAGGGGCCTGTGACATAGAGATTGGAACTGAATGTGGGGTTTTTTTTGCGATTTATTAAAACAAATGTCATCACTCATTATGATTGTAGGTTTTGACAAATTCTTTCTGATACTTCAATACTGCTATTCTGCTCAACAGCCTCAAGCAGTCTGGAGAGAAAGCTGGCTGTGTAAGACTGGCATCTGCTAGAAGTTAGTGCTTTAGAGTTTGACTCCTGCCAAGAACCTGAGCTTGCTCAAGATAGGAACACTTCTTGTCTAGCTAGATCCTTGCTACTTTCTTCTCTACTGCTGTTTGCCTCTGCTGATGGTACTGAATGTTCCCCCCTCCCTTACAAATGTTACTGCTTATTTGGTTGATCTGTAATACCATACAGAGGATATTTTTTGCTGTAATAATTCTGAAGATATTGTTTTTCTCTGTATTGAGGTCCAGTGTCCAATGTGTTTCTTGCACTCTGAAATGCATTAACTTTTTCATTCTAAATTAATAAATGTATCATCTAATTGAGAATGTATCATGTCTCTGTTGGAGAGGAGTGTTATTTGAATCTTTGCAGACTGATTGATCTAGGATGCATCATCTATCAATAGCTACATTTTATTGAGGCATTAGCTCACAAATTACACTTCAGGTCTTGGAAGAGTGGCCTTCTGATGGGACTAGTACAGTAAGTGCTCAAAAATGTGTCTTTTTTGAGCTGGTCTGGTGCTGCTCTTTCAAGAAGGCGTTAGAGTATTGAGGGCCGGCAGGAGAGAGCAAGAGAGCAGCGAGGCTGCCCGTGCCAAGGGGCACGGGGAGGAGCCGCCCACGTGTGGGGAGGCCTTGCGGTGCGAACGGAGCCAGCGCTGTGCGGGGAAAAGGGATCGGGAAGATGAGTGACGAAGTTAACCATGATAACTGCCTTTTTCTTTTAAATTGCTGTTGTTCAGTTTTGTGAATTACTGAGTTTTTAAGATTTGATTTACAAGTAGCATTTTCCTCCCTAGTCAGCCTCTTTGGTTGACTGGAATGCTAGCCCAGGTCATGCTCATTCCTGAGCATGGTTTTGCTCAGCAAGAATTCATTAATTGCTTGTACTTTTAATGTGTAATCAAATCAGCACTAGGGGTTTTGCTGTCCAGTTTATAGTGTGACTTTTTTCATTGGAAGTTATTTTCTAACAAATGACAATTGAGATATTTCACAACTCAATTTCCTTCTGTTAATTACATTATTATCTAATCGCCTAATATCTAAAGAAATTGTGTTCAGGTTATTTCTTTGTGTCAGAGTTTCTCTCCTACTCCATTTTTCTAAAGCTCACTACTGATTTGGACGTTTCTCCACTGCACTGAGAGATTTGGGGAAAAAAGTGTACTTAAATGTTGCTGTTCTTGTGCTAGCATCTATTAGCATTTTAACTTCGTTAGTGTTTTCAGTTTGGTGCAGTCAGGATGTGTGTGAAGAGAAAGCAGTATAACTTAAATTATTACAGTTAAGTATACCAGTGAAAATGGGGCTTCCAGGAAGAAATGCAAATACTTGGATTGGGGGCGGGGGAAAAAAAGGAAAACCTGTAATAAGTCTTCTGCACTTCAGTTTTATGTCATAGGCTACAGAAGGCTGCTTAAGTTCTCTGTTGAAAATGTCCAGGAATCTTATTTAGAAACCAAGTTGATCTGTTTTCATACTGCTGCATTTATACATTGGAACTGCTTTCCTTACCATCTTTCCAAAGTGCTTAATTCTGTAGGGAACAGGTTAGACTGTGCAGGAGGACTGTACTTTGGTGTACCATAACTCCATAAGTTGTGGAAAATTGACCTTAAAAATTGACCTTAGTCGCATCTGTATTTCAATGCGTAGGAGAGTTATGTGGAGAAACTGCTGTTTGGGGTATTCAAATCTGAAATACCACAGAAGTGGTGAAATGCGCTTTGGAGATGACTCAGTCCTGTGAGCTGCTCCACATATTTTTATATTGAAGGTGATTCATTGTTGCCATCTTCAGCAGGAGGAATTAAAAAAAGCCCCCAAACTTGCTAAAGCAGCCAGGAAAATCCGGAGAGCCGAGTTGCTTCAGAATAGCAGCAGAGCCGGCTGTCAGCAAGCAGGGTGACCCCAATGCCTGTGCCCTGCCTCTCTGTCTGCAGGAAAAACACCAAGTTGCTGCTAGGCAAGATATTAGAAGGCAGCATCTGTATTTCTTTGATACTGCTTTTCTGTTTCAAATTAGAATTGTTGCTTGTGCTGGAATAGCAGATTTGGGAGGGTGGGGGGAGAAGTCTATGCAAAAGAAATTGTCGTTCTGTTCTTGGGAAGAACCCTGCTAGGATGGTTTCCTTTCTCTGAAGGGGAAAAAGGCAGAGGCTCTAGAAATAAGACTTGATTGGAGACTGATCCAAGGCCCTGTAGTATCTTGTTTAGTGATAGAATTCACAAGGTAGGCACCTCGTTGATAAGTAAGGATGTGACATGAGCGAATCAACCTCCTTACACGTGATGGTATTGCGTTAAAAGATGAGAAACGCTATCAAATGGCAACGGAAGGGAGGTGAGTGCAAGTTGGAAGCCAAAACTGATGAAATATTCCCCTCAGACCTCTGCTGGGAGGTGCTGTCTCAGAAGAGAAGAGGACAAAATAATTGCACTGAGAGGTAAGAAGGGAGAAATGTTGGTATAGTGAGTGAATTATTTCTCCTGTAGTTTTAATACTTCTAGATCACACATGTATTTCAGAATACTTTTGAGACTTTGAAAGATCGAGAAATAGGGAACTAATATTCGTTACTCCTTGAACTTAGAGCTATCCTTCCTCTATTCACAGGAGAATTGGAATAAAAGTCATTTCAAAGTTTAGATGAAAATATTTGATTGTTTTCTAGTCCTCCATCTGATTGGAATCTGTTGGTCGTTGCTAATTGGGAAACCCCCTGGCAAGCAAGTGACTAATGTGGAAAGGGAAATGAGAAGTCCTGTGCAGGAATGTCGTGTCAATGCCTGCTTATGATGCAGCTTAGCCTGTTCACTAATGCTGAATTCTGCCTGCCTGCTTATGAACTCAAGGTTCACCACAGATGCCTGTTTGAAGTCTGATTCTTTCACTTATTTAAGCAGCGTGATGCTCTAGATGCACTTTTATAGCAGAACAACGTAGTGCTCGTACAATCTAACACCAAAATCTGGCAGGTCAGACCATAAAACTTGTAAGTTATTTGCTAATGGTCTACTTGAAAAATTTTGACCAGCTCATTGAATAATTTGGTCCACAGATATGTTTAAAAGACTTTACGTGGAGTTATCAGCAGATGACACATACATATGTGATGTTTTTTATGCAGCTAATTTCTGTATCCAGTTTTAGAGATTTTATAGTTCTGTAATGCCAACTATAGTGTTCATTTTAAAGGAAATCTACCTGTTTGTGACCTGCTGAATCCTGTCTGCATGAAGTGTATGAGTCTCCTGGATTCTCTTCTGCTTAGGAGTGACGCAGGGAGGGTGGAAAGAATAGATTTTGCTTTTGAAACTATGGAGATAGGTTTTATTTAAGAGATCAGTGAATACTCAGTGATTTTTAGAATTTTCCAGTGGGCTGGTTTTCAAAGGCTAAGAAACCTCTCCGGATCATCTCTTGTGAACAGTGAATTGTGATGTGGATTTTTTTCATAAATGAGTACGTACCCACTGCGGCCTGGAGTGGGATCATCACATTTAATTCACAGGCTTCTAATCAGCTAACTGGAAATAACCTGCTATTCACCGGTGAGAATTAGCCTCTGTATCTTCCACAGTCAGGTTCTACTAAAATGTTTTCTGTGGAGAAGCAAATAATCGCCATTAGGGGGCAGCTTAAGATTTAAATTGGAATGTGCTAACACTTTTGTGCAGTGCTTAAAATAATTCAGGGGAAAAAGCGGACCAGAAAAAGTGAGGGAAGCCTTCCAACTAGGGAACGTAGCACTAAGTACTCGGGCTATATATAGGGACTAAAGGAAAAGAGGAGGAATAACCACAAATTCTATTGCCTCCAGCCTTGTCTCAGCACTGTTAAAGCTAAAGCCAACCTTAAGTTCTCCATTACTGGATGAAAGAAAGCCCTAGGAGCAGCAGAGCATGTGGGTAGCTGTGAGAAGAACAAATCAAATGCCAAGCTTACAAGCAGCCTTATTTTTCCACCTTAATTTACATTAATATGCTAGAGCATGCCTGAGAAGGCCAAGGAGATAGTGCTACTGACTTCATTTAGAGTTAGAATTCTACTTCTAATTAAAAATGTATAAAGTGTGAAATTACCCGTTTTTTCATTTATTCTCCAGCTAAATCTCTGGGTCATGCTTTGGGCTGTTCTTATAACAACTACTGATTGTTAGAAGCAGTAAATGCTTCTAACAGTTGAGATAAACATAGCTGAACTACTGTGGGGAAAATGCAACTGACTTTTCTGTAGTGTAAATCCACTGAAAATCTTGCCGATAATGAAGGAAACATGCATAGTTTAATGTAACTTTAACGTGAAAATATTGTTGCAAGTCAGGGGGAGGAAAATTGTCGGGTTTAACAAAATTCATTGACTTCACCTTAAATATTCTTTAGCTGCTTGGAGCTTTCACATGTACTTAAATTTGCTTCTTCAAATTGAAGAAACCACTGTTGATTTCTAAAGGCAGATGTATTCTGGTCTAACATGTGGAATGACAGTGATGAATAGCGCTTCCCCTTCCACTTAATGGACTTTTCTTCTGGGCATCTTCTCTACTTATAAGGAAAACAAACTGCAGCCTGCATGTTTTCTCTCTGCTTTGGGAACTAGAGTAGAGTGAGCAAATAGGGAGTCTTCCTCTGAGCATTTTTTTCTGCCGGTGAGCAGAGCTACTTAGCCATGGATAAGAAATTTCATCAAGGAAAGAGTTGTCGTCTTTCCCAAAGGCCACCATAGACAAACACATCTGATTTTTAAAATTCCCTGTCATTTAACTATCCATCTTCTAGACAGTGAAAATGGATATCAAAAAGTCACCAGTCACCAAACTGAAAAATGCTGAAAGTTTTATTGATCAAATGAGAGACAAAATGAACAGGGAAAGTTTTTTTTTTTTTCCCCTGTCTCTGATATGTCTGGTAAAAGTATTACATCCATATAAATGATGGGCAATAAAACTTTCTCTAGCCACAAGAGTTGAGACCAATGTAGCCACAGTGGTTTATGGTTCTGTTTTCAGAAGGTCCTTAAAACGTTGTCCAGAGTACTATTTTTGACTGTACTTCTATATTTGCTTATCTCTATGATGAACATGGGCTTCCATTTTTCTTAAGTTGTATCATTCTTTTTACATCTTAGTATGTACTTTATTTGGCTTCTGCTTTTTGACATGTAACAATTGAGAAAACATCATATTAGAAACTGAAATTGGGTAGCTTAAGGAGCACAAGTTTGGGGGGTGTATGATTCTTGTTTTCCTAGGGGTTCTGCTTTCTTTTCCATTGGATCATCTCTTTCTTCAGCTACTTTTCTTCCACTGTAGGCCACCTTTTCCAGGGCTTTCTGGAATGCATGCATTCGTGCACTTGCATTTTTCCACATAGACGTAACTATAGTTGATGCTTGTTCCATTTTGGCAAGTGAGGGTCACCTGTCTTATCTGGCTGCTGAGCTCTTGGCAGCAGCTACAGTCACGTTGCATCTGGTTTGCTTCAGTGGAATACCTAGGTCCCATCAGAAGAAAAAGCATATGTTCCCATTAAAAACTGACACACAAGGAAAAAACTAGTAACTTGTCTATAAATAAAAAAGAGCAGAGTTGAGTATGTGTATAAATATATATGAATGTTCTTTCAACAGTGAAATTCTTGCTTACATTCAATCTCAGAATAAGCTCCTTCTCGCTTTATTGGGCACATGTTTGGACCTGTTGTTAACAGTAGGTCTAAACGTGTTGTCATGTGCATAGAGTTCCAGATATAAACCCACAAATGACTTTTTTAATAATGAGTTTTTTCGTTCTTTAAAAATCTTCCCTTATGGTAAATTTAGTTCATAGCACATAGGTAACAATGAAAAAAATGAAAGCTGTAGGTCAATTGTTGATATAGAATAAAATTTTCTGGCTAACCTATCATCAGTTATCTTTCTACTTACAGACTTTTTAAAATAAATCATGGACCAGTTTATAGATGACACTTTTACTAGTGAAACTGAAGAAAAGGATTGTGTGTGAATCAGGACCCAGTGCCACCTTCTTCTGTGGGAAATTAGGAATAACTGTTAGTACAAATACTAGTTTTATACATTGTAAGCCTTCTCCAGTTTACACCATTGTATATTTCTCTAAGATCCACAAATTATCATTTCTATTACTCATACAACTCTGATTGCTGTTATGCTGCTAGCTAGTGAGTGGCAATTATATTTGTGCAGCATGTTGTTAATGCTGCCAAATTCTGAAACAAATCTCAGGTCTGTGATCTTGGTCAATGGAATCATTTGCTTCTCATAAGCACATCACATTTGTTGATATTTTATGATCAGTGCCAGTTGATTCTGTAAAGGAAGAGACCATAATTATGAACGAATCCAAAGAGAAGCTCAGTTGACTTCACAGAACTTACAGTGAGAATCCAGGACAAGTCCCTTTACAGTAGGTCAATTCAACAGGTTCTGGAGATTCGCATTCGCCGTGGCGGATCACAGTCTCATTGCTATAAATTTTGCACTTTGGAACTTCAGGGAAAAAAAAAAAAAGTAGTATAAGCAGATTCCTCAAATCTGAGAACTACATGATTCCTAAAAACTTATGATGTGGATGATATCTGACTTGAGAATCCATATGACCATATGAAGTATGAAACAAGGAATATTGTGTGAAGTGGCTGAAGATTTTTGGAGATCTCTGCTTGTAGTCTTTGGAACATAGTAAGGCTAAGGCTTTAGCATTCATAGCTCAAGTTATCGCGATCAACATCAAACAAATGGATTTTCTTTTTCTTTTAAGAGATAATGAGGGAAACACAGGATATTGATAAATAGAGAAAGCAGGAAAGAAGAATCCTCCCTCTGCTCAAAAATGGAAGTTGAACGGTGTGTCTTTAAGCCGTAAATTTGTTCACCGTTTTACTTACCTGTACATATCTTGCAGCAGCCATCAGGAGTAGTCTCTACTTCGTCCTTTGCAGAAACATAGAGGAAGGTTTTGTATTAGTGCATAGATGTCAATTGGGAATGTGAATACTGGTTAGCTTTACTATTACTGGTCATGAAGTGTCCCTTATGATAAGCACTGAAGGTGTTCAGAAACCATAAATGTCTCGATGGCCGAGTCCCTGCTATAGATGTCTTACATCCCTGTAGCCTCATCTGAAAATGCCAAGCTTCTTTTTTTTAAGTAGTGCTGCAGCATTACTAATTAAATCTTAAGGCATTCCTGAAAGTTTAGTGGAAGCAATTTTGTCATGTTCTACCTCATCCTTTCGTTCATGTTCTTTAATGTTGCATGAATAGATGGAAAAAAAAATATTGAAACTTACGTCGTCACAGTCGTCTGGCTTGAATTCAGGGCATGTTTTTTTAGTTTGGACTGGAACAAACTGATCTTCAATTTTCTCACATTTATAATTGCTGCAGGAATCGAGTGGCAGGATCTCATCAAGCTAAGAATGAAAGAAAAGAACAAACGTATCATTTCTGCGTTGTTATTAAGTGTAATATGGTTATTTCTGAGGTACCAAACTAAGGAAATTCTTACACCTTCAAGATTAACAGATTCGTCCACCAATCTTTCACATGGCAAAGGGGTATGCCAAAATCTCAACTGTGATTTGGTTGAAGGCTTAAATCTTGGATCTCAACACAGCAGGCAATAATATAGAAAACTGTAATTGCTGTCGTCTTTTTCAAGGGCTAGCGAAGCACTCTGTATAAAGGATTTGACTTCTCTAATTAATTGTTCAGTTCTGAAAACCGGCCTCTAGTTTTCAGAGTAATCTCCCTGTTCATTAGGTTTTGCTAGGAAGAGGTGCGAGTTGACTGGAGCTGGTCTAACTAGCTTATTGACTAAAGCAAAGATCAGACAATTAAAAAGGATACTTACACCAAGCACCTTCACAGTGTTATTACTTAGTTTGATTCTGCAGGCTGTTTCATGACACTTCCCACAGCATTCTCCATCCTCTTTCTTATATTCATAACCCTAGTCACAGAGAAATGAAAGAGAGAGTATATTGAGACAATGACAGAGAACTCCGGTCATCCTGTAACTGGCAAGTGATGGCACAGGCTGGAGGATGAGCATGAACTCACCAGGGGGCAAGATGTTTCACAGTGAACTGGTTCACACTGCAGAATGTCCCTGGTAGTCTTTGTACCTTGCTCAGAAATGCAGGTACAATTCTCACACGAATCGGTGACCATGGACATTCCAACCTGGAAGACGAGGGTTGGGCGGGAAAAGGCAATCAAATACAAACAGTTGCTGTATGATGGACAAGCGGCATGCAAGTATGACTGGGTTGCTCAACTAAGTTGGGAATAAAGTTGGTTTTGCTCTCTGCCTTGTAAGAAACAAATGTAGGAGGAAAACAAAACAATATAAAATAATATCTAGGAAAGTAAAATGCAGTTAAGACTGTTTTGAACTTCCTCACTAATTTACCAGTTTTTCAATGCTTCATTTAAGAAAATTTTACCTGTTGTTAGAAAACAGTAAAACCTTACTAATGGAGAGTATAGTGAATAGATGCATCTGTGGATCCATAAGTATAAATACCACTTTATACATGGACTTCAGTTATTTTGGAAAGAGGTTCTAGTCTTTAAATTTTCACCAAAAAAGCTTAGGTGTCAATTTTGGCAAGGGATTTAGATATTTCAAGCAGAAATCCAGGTTTTAATTTTTAGGGTTCTCGGAGGGGAAAGAAAGAGTACCAAAAAATGCATGCCCCTGAAACTGGTGTACTCTTATGTCACACTCCTTGTTGAAGAATTTTTCTGTAACAGTCTTTGACAACACAAGAAAGTAACTTGGAGTTCTTGTTTAGAGATGAAAGGAGATGCATAGGAAAACAGCTAAATGACTTTTGTGTTTGAGAGGGTACACATTTCACTCTTAGCAATATAGTCTTGTACAGTATTCTCACCGTGTAAATGGTATCATTAACTAGACAAGTTCCAGGTATTCTTTCTGAGGAGGGAAAAAAAAAAGTCCAGAATAAGTTCAAAGCTTGAGATTAACCAAAAAGTCAAGATACAAAGTTGCTACCAGGGGTTGTTAATAGCAATGATTTTGGAGAGCCATATGTTTAAACCTCATTTTTATTGTCTCATTTTTATTGTTTATCCGTTTCCTATTCAAACCCTGGAAGTCCAGTAACTTCAAAACATGCATTTGCTTTTGATTTATGTTCTCAGAATGTGACTTGCATGGAAGATTGAGTGGAAAAGGATGTATTTCTTACCAGAGTACAAAAGTAATTTGACAGTATGACAGCCCATTTGTGTCTTTCATAGAATTACTTTGAACTTAACTATTTGCTTGTAAACTTTTGTGTTTCAGACTTAATTTATGGCTGTCTCTTCCTCTTGCTTCTTATATATAAATTAACATATGTAACTGACGAATTTTAAAATTTTTATTAGCATTACCCAATAATTTAAATATATCTGAATTGTTTATGTATTAAAATAGCTACTGCTTAATGAAAAACACTTTGATATACTTCATGCTCTTGCTTCTGTATTACTTGCTTTTGTTCTTATCTATTAAGCTCTATTATGCTTGCTTATTTTTTGTTCCTCTTGTTTATCTATAGCAATGCTAATGTAGTATGCTGCATTAACAACATTGCATAAATTGCGTTATTGACCTTTATGATCTCCAGATAAAGAGGTTTTGAACAATATCAGCTACTTGAAGTCTTGAGATAATATCCAGACCTCCTACCCATTCCACTTTTATTGCTGATGAAAGTTTGCTGACAAAATTTTGTTTTTAATTGAGCTTTTAAGGTATATTCAGTCAAAAATGGATGTTTGTTCACTGAACCATAATAACTTCAGAAAAAGTTTTGACATTAATGTATGTGCGGCACCTGCTTAGATAACGAGAAAAGTGCAAGTATAATTTGCCACAGCATGTAGTCTCCTGAGTGCATATATCTATCTAGATATATATCTAGATATAGATATATATTAATATATATCTATATATATACACACACACGCATCTATGTATTTTTTATACTTACTGCATTTATATTCAGGACAACATGGGTCTTGCGGTGGTACAGACACAGCAACAAATCCTTTTGGACAAACAGGTAGCTCGTTTGATTGGCATGGGAGTGGACGGCATTGCACAGTAACAGTGAGTGGGTCACAGATACACTTCTGGCATTCACTCCTCCATTTCTCTCCAGGCTGAAAATATGTAAATGATTTATTGATAAGCATTCTTTCACTACAGTTTTTCTGAGTCACCTTAAGTCGGACTCTGAAAATTGGCAGTTTTCAGCTTAACATTTTTCTAGCAATATGATATCCAGCCTTAAGGACAGGCATGTTGAATTACCAAATTGTCCTATATGTAAAAGGAATAAATTGTAACACTTTCATAACAGGTCTACTTATTGTCATGATGTCTAAATTTCTTTTATGAAAGTGTTCTCATCTCTATTACTTAAAAATTTGGTGGTATTCAGGTCATTTGTAAGATGAAACAATTTGGTACTGAAATGCAGGCAGGTTGATATGAATGAGTTAATAGACACCAGAAACTGGGCTATATTTTTGCACGAGTGATATATAAGAAAAACATCGGGGAACCACCTTTCGTGGAGGATTGACATCAGTACAGTTTCTTTCTACAGAAGTTGTGAGGGATGTTGCTGTGGTTGGTGAAGCAGAAGAGAATACAGTTTGTACAGATGTTGAGACTTGTGTTGTAGCTCCTGAGGTTGAAGTGGAAGGAGCTACTGCAGGACATGGCCCTTGATATAGGTCAACTTCACATTCCGTGTTGCAAAGGGCATAAAAATTACAGCCAACACTATCTGTTCTGTTGTATACAACTTGCCCTGTAGAAGAAAAAATAGGAGAGAAATTAAAGTAACACAAAAATATTAAGAAAAAAAGTTAATATAGGAAAAATCTATATAGATGACATTGAGTGTTTAATTGAATACAGTCCTGGCATTTCATATTATGGCTGAAAATGTTTATAATCAAAAAAAAAACAAAAAACAAAAAACCCACATACCTGGAGAAAAAAAATCAGCAAGCACATGACAAAAACATGGAGTTGCTCGACTTGTTGTAACATAGGTACTTCCTTCTGTTACAGAAGGTGTGCTGGGGGAAGACCTGATGGTTGCAGAAATGCTTCCTGTAAGGGAAGATGATTGTGGTAGACCAGTTGTAGATACTGGTAAGAAGAAGAAATACTTGAGTTCACAGTATCGGATTGTGGTCTTATAACTGTAGCATAATGGAAGGGTGTGTTGAACATTCTGAGATGGCAAAACAATGAATTTGTTAGATTTCAGTATTTTAGGCATTTCATTAAATAGACAGTTCAGAAGGGTTTTTCTTAGCTCTACATTGAATATTATCTATGGTTTGATAAATCTCAGATAATGCAAAGGGAAGGAAACACATGATTCAGGTAAGGTGAAGGCAGTAGAAGTGCCTTATAGAGATTCACTGAAGAAGAGCTTCACTGAAATAATACTTTATTAGTATTTCACATACTTAGGCTACTTGAGATATTTACACTTAGTGGAAAAAAAATGTTTAGAGAAAAAGTGAATTCAGTACCTGCTTCAGTAGAAAAAGAAGTGCTCGGGAGAATGACAGTAGTGCCAGAACTGGTAATCGATGCTGTATGAGAGATGGTGGAGACAGTAGTAGTGGGTGCAGGAGTCCTGGGTCCTGTAGGAGTGGGGCTTTCCGTAGCAATGGGTGGGGTTGGTGGGGATCTTGTCAGGAGCCTTGTGGTTGGTGGAGTTGTGCTGCACAAGGTCTCATCACAGCAGTAGAGCCTCACCTGGTAGTCGAAGCACATGCGGTACTTGCCGATCTGGTCCTCGTTTCTGCACACCAGCCCAATGTTGAGGCTGCACTGCACTTTCTGTCCCAGGTTC